AGGCGGAGTGTGTTGTGAGTTTCTCCGGTTTTTGGAGGATAAACCTAGAGAAAGTATAAATCGAAATCACTTTAGTGATCAAACAGTGGATGTCCTAAGGAGTTTTCTCCAAGTTCATGGAATTCAAGAAAGTAAATTTGGTCGTTGTTGTTGTTTGTTGCCCGGCTTGTGCTCGGCAACTCTTGTGGCAAGAAAAACCATTTCTCAAAGCTATGCTGACAAGAGAAAGCGCATCATGTGAATGATGAAACGGATGAAGATAGCAGTGATCTAGAGTATAATAATAATTTTGGTGAAATACTTCTTAAGGCATAAGATAACTTTATTCCAAACGTTTCGCCTTTTCAGGCTTCATCAGTGGATACAACTAGAATGGCTTAGTTTGAATAAATTACAAAAGTTAGTTATGCGAAATGGACGCSAATGCCATTCGGTGTCAGCGATTCCATCAAGCACTCGACAGTCTTGATGGCCTACTCACTGTACATGACGACATGATCATTTATGGAGTAGGAAACAGTGWAGAAGAGGCGATTGCAGATCACARCGAAGAGCTCACAAAGTTCTTGCAGCGATGCAGAGCAACGAGTGTAAACCTAAATAAGAAGAAGCTGAAACTACTGTGCAAAGAGATTCCCTACCTGGGTCAYATAATTACGGATGGAGGACTGAAACCCGATACGAAAAAAGTGGAGGCAGTAAAGAACATGCCCAAGCCTGACAACGTCAAAGTTGTCAGACGATTTTGTGGKTTCGTTAACTACCTAGCTAAGTTTCTGCCTCACCTGTCACAAGTACTGGAGCCAATTCAGCAGTTAACTCACACAGAGAATGAGTGGAGGTGGCTTCATGAACATGGGTCTGCGTTTGAGAAGGTGAAAGAGCTCGTCACAACAGCACCACTTCTCAAATACTACAACCCGGAAGAGGAACTGACTGTGCAATGCCATGCCAGTGAAAAGGGRCTCGGAGCCGCCCTTATGCAGAACGTACAGCCCATCGCGTTTGCAAATCCAGCACTAACTGACGCCGAGACCCGCTACGCGCAGATAGAGAAAGAAATRCTTGCTGTAGTTTTCGCACTACAGAAGTTTGACCAGTACGTCTATGGGAGAGCTGTGACAGGGGAGAGTGATCACAAGCCGCTTGCTACCGTCGCTCTCAATCCACTAAGGAATGCTCCCAAGAGGCTGCAGGGAATGCTGCTAAAGCTAAAAAGGTACAACATGCACATCACCTACAAGCCTGGAYCAGAGCGTACCTGGCGGACACCCTTAGCCGAGCATATCTTCCAACGACACGCAATACGCAGGGTGAATTCGAAAGAGTCAATGCTGTGAAGTACCTACTGATGACAGACGAACGGCTGGGGGAGCTAAGAGCAGCTACATAAAATGACGACTCACTACAACAGCTCAAAGATGTCATTCAACATGGTTGGCCAGAAGAGAAGAACCTGCCCCCCATGGTGACACCCTACCACAGCTACAGAGATGAGCTGACAGTATATGATGGACTTGTGTTTAAGGGAGAACGCCTCCTCATTCCAAAGTCCATGCGGCAGACCATGAAAAAAACGACTACACAGCTCGCATACCGGAATCAACGCATGCTTGAGACGAGCTATGTNGGGAATGCTGCTAAAGCTAAAAAGGTACAACATGCACATCACCTACAAGCCTGGACCAGAGCGTACCTGGCGGACACCCTTAGCCGAGCATATCTTCCAACGACACGCAATACGCAGGGTGAATTCGAAAGAGTCAATGCTGTGAAGTACCTACTGATGACAGACGAACGGCTGGGGGAGCTAAGAGCAGCTACATAAAATGACGACTCACTACAACAGCTCAAAGATGTCATTCAACATGGTTGGCCAGAAGAGAAGAAGAACCTGCTCCCCATGGTGACACCCTACCACAGCTACAGAGATGAGCTGACAGTATATGATGGACTTGTGTTTAAGGGAGAACGCCTCCTCATTCCAAATACCATGCGGCAGACCATGAAAAAACGACTACACAGCTCGCATACCGGAATCAACGCATGCTTGAGACGAGCTATGTAATATAGTTGTTATAGTCACCTTGATTTTCTGTAGATTTTGTKTAATATWTATTTTTGAGCCATTTTTTTATTTTACACAGAATATTACACACGAATAGCGTCGTGCCTTATTCTCGACTCATTGTTTTCCTTCTTTTTAACTGAAATGAAGTTTATACGCAGTTTGTTTAATCAACCATGAATAATTTTAAACTTCTTTCCAAGCTTTCGACCTAAGCGGTCATCTTCAGGGARCACAAAGACGTTACAAAAACAAAAACAAAAACGCATTCAAACTGAAATGAAACTACTGAACATGAAAACAACAGTGGCCACTCGATCGACTGGG